TATATATATATATATATATATTTTTTTTTTAAACGCTTTAAAAGCAGTTTAAACTTATTGCTGTCTTTGCCGCGCGCTCCCGTCCGAAAATCCGAAACTGCTCGGGCGGCTGCAAGGCATCTTGGGGAGGGCGCATGCGCAGTTTGGATTTTTGGCCAGGAGACGAGGAGAGACGCAAGGTAAGTCTATGGACCTATGCACCCGCATGCTGACACCGTGGGACAGGAAGTGCCAGCAAGCACAGAGGAGTCAGTGCTGGATCGGAGATCCGCAGCAGCGCTGGAGGGATGGCTGAAAAGGACAGGAAAGAAGAGGGAGATCGGATTAAGAGACGTCATTTAAGGTAAGTGCTTTATTTAATATTGGGGGAGGGAAACATTTTTTTTAACTTTAATGTCACTTTAAGCAGCTTTGGACATTATTGTATTGCCTTCTGTGTTGGAAATGTTGTCCTTGCGACACCTCGGGTCTATTTACAAAACATGTTGCACAAGGGAAACTGAATGTATATTTCTGCTGTGTGAATGAACTGGCTGCTGTAAGAATGGGGCCAAATCAAATGTTCTTAAAGCTCATTTCTTTCTGGTTGAATGTTCTTCAAATATTATGGGAAATAGTAGAAATAGGTTCATTCATAAAGAACGCAGAGTGGATCTGGAAATGACTTCTATGTAGCCACTAGATGGAGCTGAAGATCGTAGGGAATGAATAAATAATCTCAGTTACTGACCATTGGTCAGCGTGCCCCCATTCACTGGTGGTCAGTGTGCTCCCTTACATTGGTGGTCAGTGTGCCCCCATACATTGGTGGTCAGTGTGCCCCCATACACTGGTGGTCAGCGTGCCCCCATACACTGGTGGTCAGTGTGCCCCCTTATAATGGTGGTCAGTGTGCTCCCTTACATTGGTGGTCAGTGTGCCCCCATACACTGGTGGTCAGCGTGCCCCCATACACTGGTGGTCAGTGTGCCCCCTTATAATGGTGGTCAGTGTGCTCCCTTACATTGGTGGTCAGTGTGCCCCATACACTGGTGGTCAGTGTGCCCCCTTAAGCCCCGTTCACATTGAGCGATTTATCGGGCGGTAATTCCCACGATATCGCGATATCGTCAGTACACTGACCACCAATGAAAAGGAGCAAGCTGACCACCAGTGTACGGGGGCACACTGATCTAAGGGGACACACTTAGACCCCGTTCTCATTGAGCGATTTATCGCGCGGTAATTCCCGTGATATCGCGCCAAATTACCGCGCGATATCGCGCTCCAATGCATTTCAATGGGGCAAAGGGTCCTGCTGTCGCGGGTCGTGTGTCGCTACAGCAGGACCCTTTTTGGAGCGGATTCAGCCGTGATTCAAGCTCGCTCAATGCAAGCTTGAACGCGATATCGCGTGGCAAATCTCGCGATGTCGCGCAATATGCAAATCGCGCGACAAACGCGCGATTTGCATATCGCGCAGTGGGAACGGGGCCTTATAATGGTGATCAGTGTACCCCCTTATAATGGTGGTCAGTGTGCCCCCTTATAATGGTGGTCAGTGTGCCCCCTTACACTGGTGGTTTAGGCCCCGTTCCCACTGCGTGATATGCAAATTGCGCGTTTGTCGCGCAATTTGCATATTGCACGTCATCGCGAGATTTGCCACGAGATATCGCATTCAAGCTTGCATTGAGCAAGCTTGAATCGCGGCTGAATCCGCTCCAAAAAGGGTCCTGCTGTAGCGACACACGACCCGCGACAGCAGGACCCTTTGCCCCATTGAAATGCATTGGAGCGCGATATCACGGGAATTACCGCGCGATAAATCGCTCAATGAGAACGGGGTCTAAGTGTGTCCCCTTAGATCAGTGTGCCCCCGTACACTGGTGGTCAGCTTGCTCCTTTTCATTGGTGGTCAGTGTACTCCTTTACCCAGGTGGTCAGTGTGACTTTATGCATTAGTGGTCATTGTGTTCTATTACACTGGTGGTCAGTGTGCGCCCTTTCACTGGTGGTCTGTGAGTCCCCCTACATTGGTGGTCAGTTTGCCCTCTTTCATTGGTGGTCAGTGTGCCGCTGTATTTTGGTGGTCAGTATCTCCTATTGCACTGGTGGTCATTGTGTCTCCTCTTGCACTGGTGGTCAGTGTGTCCCCTTAAATTGGTGGTCATTGTGTCTCCTTACATTAGTGGTCAGTGTGTCCGCTTACATTAGTGGTGAGTGTGTACTCTTACATTTGTGGTCATTGTGTCCCCTTAAATTGGTGGTCATTGTGTCTCCTTACATTGGTGGTCAGTGTGTCCCCTTAAATTGGTAGTCATTGTGTCTCCTTACATTAGTGGTCAGTGTGTCCCCTTACATTGGTGTTCAGTGTGTCTCCTTACATTAGTGGTCAGTGTGTCCCCTTACATTGGTGGTCATTGTGTCTCCTTACATTAGTAATCAGTGTGTCTCCTTACATTGGTGGTCAGTGGGTGCCCTTGCATTGGTGGTCAGTGTGTCCCCTTACATTGGTGGTCAGTGTGTCTCCTTACATTGGTGGTCAATGTGTGCCTTTACATTGGTGGTCAGTGTGTCTCCTTACATTGATGGTCAGTGTGTCTCCTTACATTGGTGGTCAGTGTGTCCCCTTGCATTGGTGGTCAGTGTGTCCCCTTACATTGGTGGTCAGTGTGTCTCCTTACATTGGTGGTCAGTGTGTCTCCTTACATTGGTGGTCAGTGTGTCCCCTTACATTGGTGGTCAGTGTGTCTCCTTACATTTATGGCCAGTGTGTGCCCTTACATTGGTGGTCAGTGTGTCTCCTTACATTGGTAGTCAGTGTGTCTCCTTACATTGGTGGTCAGTGTGTCCCCTTACATTGGTGGTCAGTGTGTCTCCTTACATTGGTGGTCAGTGTGTCTCCTTACATTTATGGCCAGTGTGTGCCCTTACATTGGTGGTAATTGTGTCTCCTTACATTGGTGGTCAGTGTGTCTCCTTACATTGGTGGTCAGTGTGTCTCCTTACATTGGTGGTCAGTGTGTCTCCTTACATTGGTGGTCAGTGTGTCCCCTTACATTGGTGGTCAGTGTGTCTCCTTACATTGGTGGTCAGTGTGTCTCCTTACATTTATGGCCAGTGTGTGCCCTTACATTGGTGGTAATTGTGTCTCCTTACATTGGTGGTCAGTGTGTCTCCTTACATTGGTGGTCAGTGTGTCCCCTTAAATTGGTGGTCAGTGTGTCTCCTTACATTGGTGGTCATTGTGTCTCCTTACATTGGTGGTCATTGTGCCCCCTTCATTGAAATGTTTGTCACCCTGGCCGCACCCTCTTGAAGTTGAGGTCAGTGACAGCAGGCCGGTGGTCACAAGCCAGCAGCGGGTCTCAAGCTCTAAATTGGAGGCTTGTGGAGTAAAGAAATAAAGTGGCTGCCACCTTGGGACGTGGAAAACCCAGCATCAAATGTGGACATCAGATGGCACAACTTGCCACATGATCCCTCCCCCCCCCCTTTTAAACCCTTTTTCTGGGGCAGCT